CTTATTACTAAGTTAATTTTTTTAATCAAATGAAAATTAGATCTTATTTTTAATTATAAAACTCTATAGCTTTAATGAAACCTTCTATATAGTTTTCTTTTTACTTTATTTTTTATTTATTTTTTAAATATTAAGATAAGTACTTGTGACCTAGGATTTTATTGATAGTATATTTGGCTAATAATTGCATTACAACTACAGAGGGCAACCATGAGAAGAGTGTACAACTAGCCATTCATACAACTTTAGTCATTGTCTAATTTAGGTAGTCTGTCTGAAGATTCTACACTAGCTGCCATTTCTGGAACCTGCTTGTAGGTTCCTTGTTTAAACACTTAGTTTCTGTATCCATCCACCTACTTCTGCCTACTAATGACCCCAGCCAATGTCAGTGAAAATATGCCATGGCCACTAAGTCTTTAAAGCAGTTTACTCATATAGGAAATCTTTAAACTTATACTAAACCTTCTAAAATCTTCTGTATTTCATTCTTATAGCTAACTCAGTATCACTATGGCCAAGACCAACACTGATGGTCAGGGCATACCATTAAACTGCTATGCCCTTGTAGAGTTCACCCCAACTCTGATACTGATTTTACAACATATCTTTACTACTTTGGTATTCAATTCAAGTTCTACCAAGCTTTCAATTCTTTTTACTTTATTATAGTTAGTTTTTATTTTTTTAAGATGTACTCTAAACTGTATAAATAATATAAAATCAACTTGAATTTATTAGCTAATCAAATAATTTTCTGTTATAAAGCAGTTAGATATTAATTTTATTAATAGGTTTTTAAGCTTAGTCACTGAAATTTAAACCAATATTCAGTTTGTAAATACTATCGACTTCTTTTATTAAGAGTTATTTTTAAAAATAAATTGTAATAAAAAATATAATTTTCTATAACTAAAATAGTACCTACTAGAGTTAAGCAAATTACAGTTTTTCAAAAAATCCTGTATAGAATTTATTAAATCTAGGTACTGTATGATTGAACCTCAATTTTGATTGAGCAGCAGTTATGATTGACAAAATTTTAGTCTGCAATATGCATAATTTTGGCTGAAGTTTAATTTTTTAATTGGTTAAGATTTGGGTCTGTGTAATAATAAAATTAAACCAGGAACATATTTCACTTAGAGTTTAAAATTACATTTTACAAATTTATAATATATGTAATTTTACAGAATATATAGTACCTAGAGATAGGCAAATTGCAGTTTCTTCAAAAATTCCATATAGGATTTATTAATTTCACTTAATGAGCAGCCATGATTTTTTTACTAAAAATTTAAGTAATTTTGTCTAAATTTTTGATCTTATCATTGGCCAATCAAAATAGTAAATTTCTAAGTCTTTTTTAGAAGATTTAATATTAGTAATTACATTAAGCATGTTTTTGGTTAAAGGTTTTATTCTGATTTAATTTTTGTAAGATGATTCCAAATATTATTATTACTACACATATTATTTATTTTTAATAGAGTGACTTAATTATAAAAAATATTTTTGTAATATAAGCAAAAGATACCAATAACAAACACAAGTTGAATGAATGAATAAAAAGTAAATAATAGATAAATAACAAAAAAAAAACTGTCATTATTCTACCCTATATCTGCCAAATAATAGCAGCATAACAGTAGCATAACAGCAAAATAATAGTAAAATAACAGAAGGTTTGTCAATATGAGAAACATTATAGTAACATAATAGTAAAATAATAGAACAGTTCTATTATTTTACTTTTAGTCTTTGTAACTAAAAATAAAATAATAAAACTGTTTTACTATTCTACTATTATATTACTATTATATTACTTATATTGACAAACCTTCTGTTATTTTACTATTATTTTGCTATTATGCTACTGTTATACTGCTATTATTTGGCAGATATAGAGTAGAATAATAGTTTTTTTTTCTGTTATTTACCTATTATTCACCTTTTATTCATTTGTTCGACCTATGAAAGGAGGTAAATTCTTATCATATATATAAATAAATATATGTATGAAATAGTATATAATAAATTTTAATTAGGAATTAGCTAAATATATTAATGCAAGTCAGATATTATATTAATGCTAGCTAGATATTATAGTAATACAGGCCAGACAATCTTATTTTAAGATTATATTAAAAATTTTGTGCATATTCATTTCTAGTATCTGTGTAGATTTCTCCTGTTTCTGGTTTTGCATAACCATATTGTGCAACTACTTATTATTATTAAAATTAGAAATATTTATTTTATAACTTTTATATAAAAATTTAAAATTATTTACTTAATAATTTTTTTAAAAAATTAAATATTAAAAAAAATTACAAAAATTTGCAACTAATATATATAGAAATAATTAATATTGAAGTTATAATGATATAATAAAAAGGTTATGTTATCAACTTTCAAGTAACAGGTCTAAAGTTTAAATTTTAGTATCAATAAAAATTTAAATTTTTTTTTAAATTATAATTAATTATCTTTTATTAATAATTAAAATCAAATATCTGTTATCTGTATCATATCAACATGATTGAAAAATCATATGAAATTTATGCAATAGTTGTATCTTGTGAATCTATAATAAGTTTTCATAACTATATAAATTACAAAAACTAGAAAACCAAAATTTATTTAAAAGACTTATGTAAAAAAGTTGTTTGAACTTTTTTAATAATACTATTATAAAAACTAAATTTATGAAGGTGTGGTGACTTAGTGAAGTGGATAAGTTGTCAATCCCCCAAGTGGTAGGTTGTGAGTTCAAAACCTACCAATAGTAAAAATTTGAATAATCACCTATATAATACATAGACAGTATTATAGTGACAGCATTCTGTTGATCAGTTGGGATAGGATACCTGTAACTATGATTACACTAGTATAACTGGCAGGTCACAGGGCATCTGTGTAACCTTGGTTACACAGAGGAATGCAAACCAGTACTGGGTGATGCAAACCTAAAATAAGTTCTTGTAACTGTGTAAATCTGTAGAACTAAAAAACCAGAGTCTACTTGAAAATTCCTGAATAGAAAGATAATACAGATCTTTAATGGTACCACTATAAAGGCTAAACCTAGGAAACAAATACCAATGTAGAGGAGCTGGATAGGCAAAAATCTCAGGTAAGAGGTACTACCAACCAGATCACCAGAACTGAATCAGAAGAAAAAAATATCAGGCTAGCTTGATATATCAAGAACAGGTCACAGTCCTATCAGGCTATCTGAATTGGGAATCTGAAATCAAAGCAAGGGTATACTATAAGTACTAGGAATATGTTGTGAAGTAAGTGCTGGGATTTGGGTGAACTCTATAAAAGTTAGCCTTGTTAATATTCTATAGAGTAGGTAGGTAGTTAACAAGAAGAAATCTCAGAACCTTACAGTTAGTTAATGTATTCTGAAATGTTTAACAGCTTGACAGACATACAAATAAGAAAGCTAAATGTTGGGTTAGATAACACTTAGTTGTACAGGAACTAGGTATTACTTGTCTGAGTGTAATATAAGGATCAGAGTGTTTAAATAGGTACTCTTCTAGTAGATTACAGGCATAACAGCTAGTGTAGAACCCTTGGATAGACTACTTAAATAGGTAACCAAAAGTTACACATATGATTAGTTGCACACTTACCTTATACAAGTCATATGTAATGCATTAACCAAAAACATAAATAAAGATAGTAGCTACCAATAATATCAACTTTAATAATAATAAAAAAAAAAAAAAAAAAACCAAATTTATAAAATAAAACTAAAACTTATAAAATCATATAAAAATAAATTAATTTTTAAGAAGAAACTATTGCTATTAGTTAAATTACCAAGATTCATTTCAAAAAAAAATTATATATCAAAAAAAAATATAAATTAGAAGTATAATTATATTTATTTGTTTGAACTATCTGGACTAAAAGCTTGATAAAATTTGAATTAAATACTAAAATAATAAAGATAAATTATAAATTAAGTACTAAGTTTATAATGAACTCTACAACAACATAATAATTTAATAATATATTCTGACTATAAGTGTTGATTTTGATTATAATATTACCAGGTTAACTATAAAAATAAAATACAAAAGATTTTAAAAAGTTTAATATAAGGTCAAAAATTTTTTATATAAGTAAACTGCTTTAAAGACTTAGTAATCATACCATATTTTCATTAGTATTGATTAGGATCATTAATAAATGTAAGTAGATGGATAAATATAAAAACTAGAATGTTTAAATAAGAAACTTACAAACAGATTCCAAATTAACAACTAGTGTAAAACCTTTGAATGAACTACTTAAATTAGACAATAATTAAAGTTATATAAATGACTAATTGTACACTCTTTTCATGATTGCCTTTTATAATTGTAATGCAATCATTAGCTGAATGTACTATCAATAAAATTCTGGATTGCAAATACTCACCTTAATATTTTTTTTTTAACATTAACTTTACTTTTAAGCAAAAAGATTTTAAAGTAATAAGCATAATCTTTAGGATTAAGATTAAAAATGAGAAAAGGCACAGCTTATACTAAAATTTCACGAGGAATTTTTTTATTAGAACGCAAAAGGCAGTTTTATAAGTAAAATTTCGAGTTAATAATAATGTTTTAAAAAGATGTGATTTTCACGTTACACATGATCCTTCAATATAATGGGTACCATTTTGTGTAACGCTCATAAGTCTACGTAGCTAATTTTAAAGACGATTAAAATCATTAAGAACACGACGTTTATTCAACGATATAATTAAGTGGAAAAAATATTTAAAATCAATATTCATTATTGTGAATAAATAGAATAGTAATCGTATATATCATCTCTAAAGCTTCGATGTCATAATTATATATTATCGCTTTAATAATTAACCAAACATACTATACAGAACGAAAAAATTGGCAAATATCGAACTAATTTAGCAGCTTTTTTTTCGGTAGCGTGGCTCTGGAATATGACTAGTTAAATTTTTTTCTTGAAGTACATTAAGATGTGTCCATGTTATCACCGACGTGTCCCGATCCAGATTCCTTACTTTCCAGTTCATTTTGATAAATATTATATTGATCACTCCATGATCCAATTTTAGTATCTTTTACGAAAGCGTCGAATTTCGGCGTACTTCCAGCTACCCAAATTAATTGATTAATGTTAACGATACAGATTATAGATGTAATTGAAATTGCATATCTCAGCTGTAGCAATTTGCCTAAGTTAATAATACATATATTACACAGAAAGATAGTATACCTTGTTCGGCGAGTTTGTTCAAAACCACTGCAGTTCTAACAGCAGATCGACATAATTCATTATTCTTGTCGATCTCCGATTTGACTGCGTTATCTTTCATTCTATATGATAAAGTTCCTTTTAATGGTTCTACTGTTTCATCCAACCCTATTTTTTAAAAACCAATAATTCTAGTTACATTAAAATTTCAAATTTCGTATTTACTAATAAAATTATACAAACTTTGTGAAACGGCAGTCGGAGCGACATGTGCCAATCGTATTAACATTGTATGCGAGAGGATAGCGATATCATGTTGATCGGACAGTCCTTCAATCACACGTGTAAGGAAGTTGAAAATTTCAAGCTTATCGAGACAAGTTTCAAGTAATGTGTACATACATTCGTATGCAGACTGACATGTTATGTGAATGTTTGATTTAGTACTTAAATAATCTCCCAAAAACACACACATAAGTCAACAATAAACATTTGCCTTTCTGATGTCAAGACCATCGTCTACTTTATGTTTAAATGGTCCCATCTCCACCATGTGGATAAGATCATCCTAAATTAAATCAGAAAATAGCAATCGATAAGCTTGTCTATAAAGTAACTCATAGAATAATTAATATTAACTTTAATGAGTGTTTCTTCATAAAGTAACGGTAAGAGTTGGTCTAAAACATCACGAATCAAATAAGGCTTATTATGAGCGGCAGAGTTCAGTGTAGATAATGACAGTCTTCGAACATTCTAACGTTTAAAATAAAACTAATGTTAAACTATACGCATATAGATAATAATAACTCTTAAAAAGGATTAATAAAACAAACCAAATCATTGTCTTGAATTAGGGACAAAAAGTCAACAATAAGAGGCCGTAGCAATTCATCATATTCTTGGCCTTGATTAATAAAGGTGAACTTAATAGCTGTAACAACAGTACCACGAGTTTGCGCAGAATCAGACCGAAGACGTTTCTAGAAGTAAATTATAGTTATTCTTTTTAATAAAAAGGAAAAATGAGGTCGAAAATAATTTGTGAAAATTTATAACACCTGCAATTCAGGCAAAAATTTATTTGGATTCGCCAAAGTCAATTTGCCAAGACATTCCGCTACAACGCCTCTAGTTCCTTCTTCGATATTTTCACCACTCTGAAACAATATATTCCTAAAAACGTTTAAAAAAACCAATCATCTGTTATTGACATTGACGTCCAGTTATAATTTCCGAGAAAATAAATACAAACCAAATATCATCAGCAAAAGGCCCCAATGCTTTAACACCATCTTCATTAGAATAGCGCGAAATAATCTAAAAAAAAAAAAAAGTAAATATAAATAAAACATAAGAAATAAAAACTCATAAATTTTAATGTTTCGCTTACCTCTTTAAGAGAATGTAACAATAGATATCGCTTTCTTTGGTCCGAGTTGATTTCTGAAATGACAATAGGCAAATATTTGCTGACATTACCAGCGCTAACATTTCCAAGCGCGAAAGCGGCAGCTGATTTGATGTCTTCAGATTGTGCTGAGAACAATGCCAATATAATCACATGAAGATTCGAATGTGCGCTCAAATCGCTGCATCAAGAGGATTAATTATTTAATAAAATGATTAAATTCTGCACAAGGAACAAACAATGTTAAACAATCTTACACTTTACGTCCAATTTCACCTAAAGTCAACAAACATAGATATTTTATAGAGTCAGATTGGTTTTGAGCCTATAATATAAAACCAAATTATATCAAACCAGATATAAAATCAAAATACACATGGAAGCTTAATTTTATTTAAGTAAAATTTTGTATATGAAAAGTTTTACAAACCGCTATTTTTCTAGAAAAATCAATTACGGTTTGATTACGGTATTTGTTTGATGCCACACATATTGTAGCAATGCATTGTGCAATCGTTGAATATGCCTATGGATCAGAAATAGAATTATGAGTAACCAAAACGAACTGAAGTAATTATTATAATTAGGCATGTAAAATTAATGTTACGGTTCTCATAAAATTTTAAAACATGACCCAGCAACTTGGCTTTTAATTTTATTTTCAAACAAATTTTATATGTAAAAAACAAAAATTTTTTAGATTTCTAAAAAAGCACACTCAAATAGTAAAATCTTGTCAAAAAATTTTTTAAGTTTTTTTTAAAAATTTAACCGGCCGGATCATGAGAACCGATTTATTAAATTTATGTGGTCTTATGCTAAGGTACACAAATAAATAATCCTACCTGTTTCGAAAGGGTTAATTGATTAAGGTCCTGATTCTTTTGAACGGGAGACAGTAGTCCATCCAATAATTTATTGAAGTGATCTTCATCGGTTTCGATCAAGGTGCGGAATAAAACAAGTAAACTGTCCAATGCAGCCCCTTGAACAAGCGTTGACTGCACAAGTTGAAAAATGGACGGTAGAATATCGTTATTTACAGGTTCTAGTGAGGCAGGATTAGTACGTAAAACTGAAACCACGGTGTTCAATGCTAATGGTAATAGATGGAGGTCTTGGTCGGAAATATGAGGCGTCAATTCCACAAGAACGTGGGAATAGCTCTTGGCGGTAAGGTATTTTCCATACCTGTGATTTATTTAACTTTTTAATGGTATGAAGCATATATATGGCATGAGATTCATCTAGTTAAACATACCGACGCACAAATACTTCAAGACACACTAAAGCAGCTACTTTTAGTTGACGATGGTGCTTTCTAAGAAGACTCGCAACTTCCTGTATTGCATCCGTTATCGCTACCTTCACATAATCACTTTCACACACTGTACTATCGGCTATCATCGTGAAGGTTTTGACTGTAGTCAAGCGAGTAACTTCATTTCGCAGTCGCTCCAATAATATTGGCATGCACGCTTTAAGCTCATCCTGTAGATTATCTCCAGCTTGTGAAATAAGAACTCCCAAACACATTATAGATCGCTCCTTGACTTCTTGATCTGCATCTGGAGTTGAAAGACGCGCAATAGTGACATTATAAATGTCCAGTATGAATCGCCGGAACTCAGGATTTAGTGGCTGCACATTGTATGTTTGCGTGTTCTCCTGATATTCAATAGGACGGATGACTTTAATCAATTCAATACAAACCAAGAAGGCTTCAGACGTAATTTTATAAAAGCTATCTTGCACGGATGAAATTATTGGAGGGCATAATCGTGCAAGATGCTTGTGGAAAACTTGAGGAGGATGAACCTTAAACAACTGCCGAAGGAAACTTAAAGTCTCAATCTTGAGATTAGAATTTGTGCTTGCATGATGATGAGATGTGTCTGATGATGTAGATAAAGAACTTTCGATTGCAGGTATAAAAGTATTCAAATGATTATCAAGCCCCCCATTTAATACTGTGACTAATTCCCGTAGAAGCAAAAATCCTGTTTGTTTCGTTATAATCGATTTTGAGACAAGTTGCTTAGAAAGATTGCGGCTTAGTCTCGGAACCAGATTTCGCAGCATCTGTTTGGGACTAGTTATAAACAACATAAGTCATCATAAGATTTGATCAATAATGTAATTCAAAGAAAGCTATAATACCTTTCTTGTGATTCGCTTGGACCAATAGCCCTTCTTCGTTTTGGTTCATGATCATTTTCTCTTGGAATATAACCCTCTCCACCATAAACATGGGTTTGCCTGAGAAGGACAATGAAAGTCTGAAGTATATCCACGCGAACAGACTCTTCTCGTTCTTTAAATCGGCTAACTAAAGCTGGTGCGACGTTACTATACAGTTGGGAGAGAAGCTCGTGTCTCGTGCCAATAATAGAAGCTAGGAGCTTCGATGAAGAACGGCGTACTTTCCAAGAGATATCATCGTCATCAGAATAATCCCTATGCACGGATATGCATACACAATAAATATTAAACACGTCAATATAACATCCCATGATCATGTACATACTCATCATCATCATCATCTTCCTCTTCATCTTCGGTTGCCATTTCTTCATCTTCATCCATATTAGCATCATCATCATCATCAGCCATTTCATCGCTATTATAATTAGGATCATACTTCAAATATACTAAACCAAGCTCAATGATAGTGTTGATGTTTGGAGTAATTTCCGTTGGACATCGCAATACAAATGATTCAAGCGCCTAATATTTTTGTACGTTAATATCATCTAGGAACGACTAACATTTTTAGGGTACTGTCATAAAATATATTCACCTGTAAACAATTTTCGCGCAATTCATCATCATTTATGTTAATATTGACGAACACCAGCGGTAGGAATTGTGGTAAATACTTTCCTAGTCGTGGAGCACTCGAACGACTTAAAAATATTATCAATATATTAAGCAATACTTAATCCTTCATGTATGTTAATTTTCTATTCAAGTAGGCGTACCTTAATGTTCCAACGCATTGAATTAGAGTCTTTAAGTTATCTTTCTGGTTTTGAGCCCTTTCAAATTCAGCCAATAATTTTTGCACCAATTCGTTAAATAGATCATCAGGAGCGTGTGTCACAAGATTACCTATAGGATTAAACTGGTCAATATTTTCTGACAATAAAGTGAATAATGTCCAATAAATACCCCGATCACTATATTAAGATCGCGGGATATTTTTATTAAAAACATACCAAGAGCAATAGTAGTTCTCTTTCTGAATGCTGGACGCGAATGGCTCAATAGAGGCACCAAAACATTCTGAATCCGTTTCTGTGATGTTACATTGCTACCCACCGAGCTACCAAAACGAGCAAGCAGTTCACTTAGGATATCCAAGGTATCCATTTGCACTTCGTACGTGGCCTTCGACTTATATTATATCAATTATAAGTAAAGCATATATGAATTTTACAAGGTGACAAAGCCATTTACTTACATTCTCTAGTTGTGAAAGAAGCTTTGGAATCAGTCTTTGCACTACGCTACCAGCATTTGGTGAATTGCTTGGTATTTCCACAATGACAGTTTTCAATCCTGAGGTAAGGAAATTCACATGTGAGCGATCATTCAGGAATAACTTATGATATATCGTTACATATTTATACCGATGCCAGCGATGTCACGTAGTTCTTCTTTTTTCTGTGTAGCGTATTCACAAAGTTTGTCAATGATTTCTGCTAGTTGTGTTTCTCGAACTTTTTTGACAAGTGGCGCGAGACTAAATGATTTGCGTGATAAAAGTTACAACCGATAACTAATAATCAACAACCCATTGCGTGATAATCACCATTTTACTGCCAAATTTTGCACTTCGCCATTAGCATCATCCATTAGTTTTAAAACTTTTTGAACAACTTTTTTCTCGTTAGTTTCGTCTAAAGTGAATTCAGGCTTTTGAAGATCGTTCATTAAATCATTGGCGGCCATGTACCGAAAATCGGTATCATTGGAGTCCATCTATCGATATAGTAAGAATATTATTAGCGGATGATAAAATGTCCCAATGCAAATAGAAAATTCAATCACCTTCTCCAACAATCCAAGCACTGTATGACTCATTTTCGCTATTTCTTAAAATACCAACTGATGCAATATTGGAAAGAAAAAAAGAGTAATATCCGATCAGATTGAAATATTGTATTAAACGTTTTCCTTGTGTGACATTCCTTCCCATACGATAAGGCCTACAAATACTTTCTATATATTATTGCCTACTATATCGAAAAGTGGAACAGAAGTTTTGTAATATTCAAAAACACGAGAAATGCAAAAACATGTTTTCTGATCGTTGCCTGAAACGACACGCTCCACAACTTTACGTATAGATAACAAAATCTTTATTTTATCAGCAAAGCAAGTAACATTTGTGTAGGTGAACAAACAGCATTCTATTTGAAAGGACAAAACACGCTCCTATATTCTTAGACTATGCCTGCTAATCACCTCTTAACAAGTACCTGTAAAATGCAATCAATAATTGAAGTTTCAGACTTATCGGATAGAATGTATCAGAGATGAAATTGATTCTTTTGCTGGAGTTCTTACTGAGCGATCGCAGTAATGTTACACGGAATTGTTTAATCCCGTGATCCGGATCTCGGAGTAAACGATTTACAAATATTTTAGTTTATACGTATAAGTTTTCGAAATGAATTATTACTAAATTTGACGCCCATTCCAAGATCAATTTAACGAAAGGATTTGCTAATTCTAATATGTTAACACATCGGTAAGTTCATGTTGTCGCTTTTCTATACTGAACCAGATGCTTTGATAGATAAGTTCATTATATAATATAAAGATCCGGGCATTTCTATTTTATTGAGACTGTACATTTAAATCAGTGTATGCACAGACCAGTCAGTGGTCAATCTTAGTCTGACCAATTTGACTAGCCCGGTTAAAAGGTTTAGCATTAATCAAGCTATATAGATCAGAGAATTGTTTATTTTTAGGCAATTTGATATAAGTTATTTAGTCGGGTAATTATTTAAGGGCATGGGCAGAAATCATGTAATTTCAATTTTCTTCTAAAATCAGCCCGTTTTTTAAGTTTTAATAAATTTAAACTAGTTCATTAATATAATTTATTGGTTAACAAATTAGGCTGCCTAAAATTTTTTTTAATCGTTTAATCGTTTAATTTGGCCGACATTAAAATAATTCCGGCCCATGATCAACATAATTCTGTCTATAAGTTTAGCATCACCACCCCAAAAAATTTCGCCGACTATGTGATCTTATTAAAAAATTGTTTCGCAATTAGTTTAGGGTTAGGGTCCCACCAGTAGATTAATGCCTGGTTTAAAGGATTATAGTTACAGTAAAATTTCACGAGGAATTTTTTTTTGTTAGTACACTGAAGGCACTTTCATAGGCAAAATTTTGAGCTACGAGCGTTTTTGTTCTTTTTTTGTGTTACACGAAATCTTGAAATATGATTGGCCAGCTAGATTTTTTTTGACTGGTAATTTTATCTGCTATTAATTCTGTTCGGAACTATGAAGCAATTTTTAAATAGTTAAACGGTTCCAATTTCTATTATAAATAAGGTTAATAGTTTAAGTTGAATTAATAATAAAACTAGGTCTTGTTTTTATAATTTAAAAAGTTATAATCAAATACAAAGTAAAATAGATAAATACAAATAAATAAGAGGAATGTGGTGATCTAGTGAAGTAAACAGGTTATCAATTTCCAAGTAGCAGGTCTAAGGTTCAATTCTCATAAATGACAAATTTTAAAAATTATATTTGTGTTATAATAATTGTTTCTTATTAATTAGTTAGATTTAAACATTTGTAATTTTAAATACATCAAGTCAGGTTTTACCTAACATTTGAAGACTCAGAATATCTATACAAAGTGTAATGTTACATATACCTAGAGAAATATAAACTAGTGTTATATAAGATTTTGATACAAATCCATAATAAAACTATCAGATATAAAAGAATAAGAAACTAAGAAAACAGAAATCTATTTGAAAATTTTAAATAAAAAGAAAACATAGACTTCAATGATATTACTGAACCATTAGAAGTCTTAAAAAGAATAACTAAAATAAATCAAATGACAATATGTATAGAAGAGCATATACCAATCAGATTGCTAGAAATTACCAAAAGAAAAGAATCTTAAAATATTATACTAAACCATCTGAATTAGTAGTTTAAGAAATCTTATAGATTCAAAATAAGAAGAAGATTTTGAAAAAGAAAAGTATTAGAGTTCTAGTAAATTTTACAAGAGCATAATAGTTTAATAGTTAGCCTTAACTGCAAGTAATGGTCTAGATCAGAACAGTACTAAATTAGCTATAAGTATAGAATATAGAAGATTCTAATAAACTTAGTATAAAGTTAAACATATTATGATATATTTGTAGATTAACATTGTAGTTAATAGAGTAAAAGTAAATACAGGAACTAAAGTATTTAAATAAAAAACCCACAAGCAAATTCTAAATATGACAACTAGTATAGAACCTTTGGGCAGATTACTTAAAATAGACAATAATTAAAGTTGTACAAGTAATTAGTTATATACTTTTTTTTTCGGTATTAAGGTAAGGTTATGCCTTCTAGTCTTTATTAGTATATTTGTTATAGCTAGTACAAATCTATTATACATCATTTATCACTATATATCTATTCAGATATAAAACTTAGACATATTTATTTGCAACCTAAACTTATCAGAGTTTTGTATTATGTCCCACTTACACCTAACCTGGATTTTTGTTTCACTACTAATTATATTAAGTAATCTACATATTCCCTTCATGTCTTACAACCTATTTTTACAACTCCTAAATTGGTCCACCAGGTCGTTCACTCCTTTTGAGCTACCATTTTTGGTTTGCCCAAAGGGTGCCTCTCTAGCATGTATCTTAAACCAGGTTCCTGCTGTCACTGCTAACTTCTCAATTCAAATACTGGTAGTACGTATCTCAAGCCAGGTTTCTGCTGCCGCTGCTGGTTTGCAACCCTTCTTGGTCTTAGCATCATTTTCAATAAATTGTGCATTTAACCTGCCCTTTAAGTACTTCTTTTTATAGTATAGATAGAACTCTATTTCAGAGATGAGTACACATCCTCTTTTAGCCATTGACTGATGTTTCCACTATTGTCACACCATGCTGCAGGTTTTTCTTTGTTCTGTTTCCAACTGTGGGCAATCCTCTTGCCTTTTTAAGAACATCCTAGCCCAAATCTACATTTAGACTAAGATGTTCATATTGTGTTCAAGTAGGTTTTCACTTTCAATTTAGGTATCTTAACCATGATTGGTACAGCATTTATATTGATATGTTCTACTTGTTTCACCATAGGCTTCCATATAGGTGTAACCAGAGCTTCGGTTTGGAACCTTTAGATATACAGGACAGACTACAACTTCTCTATACAGATGGTTACCTTCTATTCTTAGTCGTTTTACAATGCCAAAGGTGCTTCTAATCTTGATAAGGCTAATCCTTTGTCACAAACCTTCTATGCATGCACCACTTCTCTCACCACTCTAGTTTGTGTTATCTTGGTATCACCCTACCAATCAAGTACTCCACAAGTTGGATGCAGAGATGTTGGTACTGCCTTATCTCCAGAGGACTTACATGTGTAACCCTTTTTGTGTAATGGAACTTTCTGTGATGCCACTATCATACGTAGTGCCCACACTTTGCAAAGTTAGTTTTCTTCCAGAAATTCCTTTTCTGTCATATACTGCACTTGGACTTGATCACAGGGCTTCATGTTTAATTACAGGCTCCTTTCAGTTACAGAAACTAAAATCTTTCGATTTTGCCTCCAGCTAAACTTGAACCATTGACTTTGACTATGGGGGTATAGGAGCTTAACTATTAAGCTATAGGACCCACACCTCATATACTCTTTTTATGATTATTTCTATAACTATTGTATATAATAGTTATATGTCAACATATTATCAATAAACTTCTAAAACATAAATTTTTTTTTTTTTTGCTTTTGCTAAGGCTATAGTTATCAGTAGCTATTGCTTTTATTGTATTTTAATTATAATTATATAACTCGTACAAGGTGAATATACAACTAGCCACATATACAACTTTTGGTTATCTAATTTAAGTAGTTCATCTGCATAGCAGATTCTACACTAGCTGCCATACTTGCAATCTACTAGAAGATTACCTATTTAAATACTCCAATCCCTATATCTATACTAACAAATAACATACAAGTTCTTATATATCTAAGTGCTGTCTAACCTAACCATAACCTTCCTGTCTGTATATTCATTAAGCTGTTACACATTTTAGAGTATATCACCTGACTTGTAGGGCTCTAAAGAGGCTCTTCTGCTAACTAACTACTCATATTTAGTATCTTATTAACAGGACTTGTCCTTGCAGAGTTTACCCAGACCCTAGCACTGACTTTACAGCATATCTCTAGTACTTTAGTATATCTCTGTTTCCAATCTTAGACTCTCAATCCAGATAGTCCGATAGGACTATAACCTGTCACTAGTACCCCAGAGTCTGCTCCCAAGGTCCTTTTTCTCCAGTTCGAGACTTCTAATAGTCTGATTAGTGTTACTTCTTACCTAAGATTCTTGTCTGTCTGATTTCTTTTATATTGGTATCCATTTTCTAGGTCTAGCCTTTATAGTATTACTGTCAAAAATCTGTGTTACCTCTTTACTCAGGTCTTCCCAAGTGGGCTTTGGTTTTCTTAGTTTACAGATTTACATATCATAAGAACTTATCTTGGGTTTGCATCACTCAATGCCAGTTTGCATTTCTCTGTATAACTTTAACATTGTGCAAATGCTTCATAACTTGCCAGTTATCTGGTGTGACTGTGTTACAGGTACTGATTCCAACTAATCGACAGATTGCCATTGCTATAGTACTAGACACAAGAACTTATTTTGAGTTTGCACTGTCCGATGTCAGTTTGCATTTCTCTGTATAACTCCAACATTGTACAGATACCTGTAGTACTAATATACATAGGTGGTTTTTCAAATTTTCACTGTTAGTAGGTTTTGAACTCCCTACCTATTACTTGGAAGGT